TGATTAGAGGATGAGGGCACTGATGAATGGATTAATGCCATTCTTACAAGAATGGGCTAGCTATAAAAGGATAGTTTCACCCTCATTCCCTCTCTGTCTCACTTGCTACCTTGCCATGAGATGCCTTCTACCACACTGATTTAGCAAGGTCTTCATCACATGTGGCCCCTAGAACTAGGGTGACCTATGGAACCAATAAACTTCTACTGTCTATAGTTTACTGTCTGGTATCTTGTTACAGCAGCAGAAAACACACTAAGACAATAGGTCCAGCACATGGTATATAACCAATAAATAAATTATTATTATTATCACTGATGACCACTCTGCCTTCTCCATTTCTGGCTTTTCTTCCTCTATCAAGTGTTCATGTTTCTCAGTGTTCCATTCTAGGCTTCCTTTTCTTCCCACCCTACAAGCTTTCCTTTAGCAGTGTCATTCACTTCCGTGCCTTCACTGCCACTCACACACCAGTAATTCCCCCCAATCAATGCCTCTTATCTACACTTCATCCCTGAGGCCCAAACCTATATACTCAACTACTTCCTCAATACCTTCACAAGAGCATCTCCCAGGCATCTAACTTAACATGCCGCACAGTAAATTCATTTTCTCTTCTAATCCTAAAGCTTCTCTTTCTTCCACTATTTCCATAAATTCATCCCAACTGCTCAAATCATAAAATCTGTGATCATGGTCTCCTTCTTCATACCCAACCCTCACTGCCGAACAATCACCCTTTCCTGTTTATCACAGAGTCAGTGCTGCTAAAACATTCATTTTGAAAGAGCAGATTTATTCCAATGAAACTGATGTATTAGGGAATAATTCAAGGGAATGTAACTTTTGCATTTGCTTATGTGCCATTTTGTCCACCAGATATACTATAGAAACACAGGAAACTATATCCAGCTGGCAGAGCTGGGCCAAAACATACAAAACGTGCATGTGCACACCTATCAGGCATGGAGATCACCACATATGATACAGGCCACACCCATTTGGTTACAACTTTCCATCTAATTTCACACAATCTTCTTCCATCACTTCAATAACTACTAAGCTATGATTCTTCTTATGACCATTTATTTCTATGAACAAACTTGTGAGCTTTTTCAAGGTAAAGTGCTGGGGCATTTATGTATTTCTTAACCATTTAACATGTGAAACTATTACATTCTTAACCTTTTTTTTTTTAAACATGTCACTGATGAAATTTTTGAATGTTATACTCCTAATTACATTTTTACTGTAAGACTTTCCATAGCATGGTGATTTTAACAAACCTGTATGTTGCAGAACTGACCATACCATCCAACATTCTACAATTAGTCCATCTCTCTACCTTTCCCACTGCTATCAGTTTAATCCAAGTAATTATCATCTTCCACCCGGATGACAGCAATGGTCTAATTCTCAACAAGGGTCAGTACTTCCACCACCACCCTGCCATCTAGTCCACTAAAACTATACATGCAGAGGGGTGAGGAAATATTTTTAGTGTAAAATGATTCACAGAGGGGCAATGAATGGGCTGGGGTGCTACACGTTAGCAGTGTCACCCACATAATGATTTGTCCTACCCCAAAATGACAAATGCACCCCCATTAAGAAAAACCAATAACTGGTCTCCCAAGTCTGCTCTAAGATCTCTCTATACTACAGAAAGAGCTTCTTAAAAATGCAAATCAGATGGTGCCTCTCTTATGTTTAATACCCTTTAATAGCTTTCCCTTGCCCTAAAGATAAAGGTCAAAATCAAAGTGTGATCTACAAGTTCCTGCCTTTCCCTCTGGCTTCATCTCATGCCACTCTCCTCTTCTATATTCACTGTCCTTTAGGCAGTCATTCACTTAACAAATACTAATTAAGTATCTGTGTTCTGGAATCCATTCAGTGATTGGGAAAGAACAGTGAAAAGAGACAAAATTCTATCTCTGGCTTCTATGAAGCTTGCCAGGCTTCTCTGCACCTCTAGGCCTCCCACATGCTATTTCCCGTGCTTAGCCATACCTCCTTCAGATTTGAGCTTGTACATCCTTCCTCAGGAAACTATTCTGACTCCATCCCACTAAATTATTACACATGACTCTGAACTGTTCGGTGTTACTCAGTGCAGTTGAAATTATTTGTTCAATATCCATCTTTTCTGATATATCCCCAGATCCTAGCATAGTACCTAGCACCCAGAAGGCATTCCAGAATATGCTTATTGATGAAGATATAGATAGATAGATTTATATGTGCACGTCTCTACACCTTATGAATATGTACATATAAATACATTCATGTCTATACATCTTTCCAAATATTTACGAAGGTGGCTGCGTTTATGTGAATATACAAAGCTAAATGTAATGACATGTACATAAAATTTGGGGTATACTTACTTGGCGGTATTCACTCACATGAGTACCCCTGTGCATTAATGTACAGACACGTGTCTGTGTGCAAGTGCGCGTGTACAGTGAGCATGCACGTGTGTTCTTCAGTGACAGCTCTGACCTCCTGGAGGGAGCCAGAGCAGAGCCCCAAGTCTTCTTTAAGCTGACAGCTCAATAAAAGTCTAAGATCATTCAATAGCATTCCAAATGTCAGCAAACACTGGCTTACTATACTCTGCTAGAAGGGGAAGTAGGTTGAGAAGGGAGATAGGGAAACCTGGCTATTGAAAAGCTGCTCTTTCCCAATGCAGCCCATGTCACTTCTGGAAAAGAGAGGGCAGCTGAAGGTCAAAAGGTGGCCTCTGCTCAGTTTAGAAACCTTAGAAAATGCAATGCTGAGTTCAGTCCCAGTTGCTCACTTAATTGCTCACCTAGAACATGAGATGGCTGGAGGACAGAGAAAAAGGGATTATACTCTTTGTTTTCCCCCAGGTCTGCTTAGTTAATCTCATAGGAAGAAATCACAAAGGCCAACTGGGAACAGAGTCCACCATTTACCCTTGTATCCATTCTCTCCCTCTATAACTCAGCAGTGTGGCACAGAACCAAGCTGAAGAGGATCAGGACAGCCTCCCCCCACCTTTACAAGCCCAGTGGCACTAAGGTGGCCAGAAGTGGCAAGGTTACCACACTGGTCAGCTGCTCTTCTGCTTTTTCTGCCAAGGAACCCAGAGGCAGAGAATTATCCACACACCAAAAAGTCTAGTGAACTTCACAGAGTAACTGTTCATGGTCAGCGCCTGGCTTGCCTGGCCAGGCCTTCACACTGCATTTGCTGAGGCCAGCAAGCAGCCTCAGATGAGCTCTGACAGCTAACATACTGTCTTCCAGGAGTAAATGCCTAGCCACATAGGCACACTTATTCCCATCCAGCCCCACCTGGGAGGGCCTCTGTGGAGCTGGTTCTCAAAGACAAGCAGAAAGCCAGCAATTACAGTATTCACTGCACACATACTCTATACTCACTCACTCACCCCTGGTCTAGCAAGGGACACACAGAAGAATAATCTCTGCTCCAGACGGACATGTCCAGCAGAAAACACACATGGACTTAAGTTCCAACTGCTTTAACCGATATTCATGTGTCAAAGAACCTCTAGGCAAGAGAAGCTCAGCAGCAGTGATACAGGAATTAATCTTCAAGGAGAGGAAAGATGCCCGATGAAGATGACTAGAGGACATTTCAGGAAAAGGGAATGCCACGGGCCAGATCCCAAAGGCAGGATAAACCCTAGCCTTCTCAGCCAAAGATGAGAAGTAGTAAATGGCAGCATCTCAGCTGCATGGGAGATCAGTAGGAAAGGAGGCTAGGGGCTAAAGTATACAAAGAAGCCAGAGTGCAAAGGACCTGAATGCTGGGAGAAAGCAAATGAGCTCACAAACGCTGCCAGAAAGCATGGGACCAAGTCCACAGTCATTCTCAGTGTGGAACAAACACAATACCTTTTCTTTCACTATTCTTCCACATACTCACTTAGCTTCAGCCACACACACTAAAAGCATGTCGCTCTCCCTGCCTAGAAAGCATTCTCTCCTTGTATCTATAATCCACCTTTTTTGATTAGCCAGTTTATGACCCAAATCCTCATAGTATCTAGCCTGACTCTCCAAAGCCCTCTTTTATTCTGAGCCTTCTGGGAAGCACCATCCTGAACCATGATGTATTCTCTCTTCTCCAAGCTTCCCGGGAGTCCCTAAGCTGACTGGTGGCATGAGGTTCCTGAGACTCCTCCAGGGCTGCTACCCTTTTATCAGAATTATTTATGGAGGTCAGTTTCCTAGTGGACTGGGCCTTCAGGAGCAAGGATCCCTCCAAAGCAAGGATTCAAGGAATCTATTTTTCCCCACCCTTTCTTCTGTTTACCTAGGAAGTACAGCAAAATACTTCTTTTCTGAATGGTTCATACCCTTATGGGTCCACTATTCTAGCTACAGAGGGTCCTTCCCAGCTTATGGCCTCAATGCCAATTCTCCAGGTCCTTAGTGCTGTGTATTACAGCCAGTATCCTGGTGCCAAGGGAACTGGGCTTTAGTTTCTGTGGCTCTTCCTGACCAAAACAAGGCCCTACTGGGGCTAGGTGGCGCCAAAATAAGCCTGAATGAGTTCCTTGTCCAATATAGGAGATACCAGGGACAGTCAGAGGCTCAGAGGCCAAACACAGGAGGACTTAAAGGTGAATACTTCTAAGGGCCGGGGATTTAGCTCAGCGGTTCGGTGGCAGAGGCTCAGCCAGTAACACAGTTCTCCTAGCAACAAAGTATCACAGCTCAAAGATTCATATCTGACTGACAGCCATGTAAAATCCCCTTAACTAGGACTTCTGTGCATGTCTGGGTGATACCAATGAAGGCCATGTCACATTCAACTCAGCAGCCTAGTCCCCAGGAAGCTCCCCATTTCCCAAAATAACTAGCATTTTAGTGTACACTGGCTAGGGAAGAGGAAGAAGATATGCTGAGAAAAGAGGTAAAAAATAAAAAGGACAACGGAGATGGGAGGGGATCCCTGAGACATACAGAAGCAGAGGAAGGCCCTGGGTGGGGCTCAGAAAGTACCTTTTTCAGATTAATCCACTGCTTGAAGTAATCTGCCACTGGCAAGCCCAAGTACTGGCACTGGCCTGGGAGCCTACAAGAAAGAGAAGAAAGAACAAATTAGGCACACACATATCCCACGTATACAGTCTTAAGCTAGAGCATCCAACAAAGTCTTCAGGACAAAAGGACCTCAAAGACCAACCCATTAACCATCAATCCCACCACATTCAAGAAAGGGACCCCACCTCTTGCATCACAGACACCAGCGCCAGAACAAGCCTTCAGATCCAAACGTAAGTGCTTAGAGATGTTGTTGAAAATAATACTAGCAGCCATTATTTTCTAATGGCCTACAGTAGGCTAAGTACCTTTTACATTTTTCACATTTAATCTTCAAAACAATGTTGTGAGGTAGGTACTATTGCATACATCTCCCAGACTAGAAAATGAGATTCAGAGAGCTCATAGCTAGAAAAAAAGGAGTGCCCAAAACTGAACTCGGTTCTGACTCCAAAGCCCTTGTTCTTTCCAGCAGACCAATCTGCAGTTCTTTTATCATAGCAGAGAAATAAATGTAAGACAGGAGGAAAGAAAGAATATATAATACAGAGATGGACTGGCAGGGTCTCAGTTCACCTTTAAGCTTCTAGTTGTGGGCTTATCTCAGATTTAAAAAAATAAAAAAGGACTATTCAGAAAGATAGGAAGAGGTTAGACTTTAAATCAAGGGTTTATTATTGTTTTTTCTAATAAATTACAATTTACCAATTCCCTCCCCCTTTAGCTGATATGTTATTTTGCCCACACAAATCAATTTAACCAAAAATATATGATGACTAATAAGGTCAGGAACTTAGGGTTCAAAAAATAAGACTTAATCACTGTTGTAAAGAATTCAGGGTGTTCAGAAGAACAAATGGTTTTAAAAAAAAAAAAAGCAGCACTAAACTGGAGTGTGGAGACGTGGAAAGGTGGAAGAGGAAAGATCTGCATGTTTTCTTTCTAAGAGAAGTGGCTCCGGCAATGGCAACCTTCTGAGGAGTTGTGATTTACCAAGATTGTTCTGCAGGCAGCAAAAATAACACACTAAAAAAGAAAACTGATAGCCAGGAAGACGAGAGATAGTAGCAGTAGAGACAGTGACAAGAAACAGACATTAAAGCTATAAAAGAGGACCTGCTGACCTAATGGTAGGTGAGGCCTGCTATAATTTGAATTTTGAATCTCAACCAAAGACCTGTGTGTTAAAGGTTTAGTCTCCATCCTGTGGCACTACTGGGAGGTGGTGGAACCTTCAGGAGGTAGAGCCTACTTGGAGGAAGTTGCGCCACTGGCTGTATGCCAGGGAAGGGGACACTGGGACCCTGCCCCTTTCTCTCACCAGCCTCCATGATGTAAACAGGCCACTTCCAGCCATGACATACTGTGCAGCCACAGGCCCAAAACAACAGGGCCAAGTTACCATGGACTAAAAGCTCCAAAACTACTAACCCAAACAAACCTTTCTTCCTAAATTACGTCAGGAACTTTGTAGTGCTAACAGAAAGCTGACTCATACAGAGCCCGATATGGAAACGCCACAGAGCCCATGTTTATGGCTTGGCTAGAGCTATGGTTTGAATGTGCCCCCTAAAGCCCATGTGTTGAAAACTTAATGCCTAATGCAACAGTACTGAGAGGTGGGATCTTTAAGAGGTGGTTAGGGTTAATGTCTCACAAGCGTGGGTCAGTTATAGAGGGAATGGATACCTGATCAGAGGATAGTTCAGCCCCTTTGGCACCTCCCTTCCCATCTCTCTCTATCTTCCCCCCAACTCCCATCCTTTCTGCCTTCCAAATGGGATGACATAGCAAGAAAGCTGTTGCTAGATATAGGCCTCTTCACCTTGGACTTCCTAGCCTCTAGAAGTGTGAGAAATAAATCTCTGGTCTTTATAAATTTCCCAGTCTCACTGGCCATAGTGGACGACCTGTGATCCCAGCACTTAGGAGGAGGTTGAGGCAGGAGGATTACTGTAAGTTTGAGTTCAAGCCCAGCCTAGCCACATAGTGAGAGTCTGTCTCAAAAAAACAAATAATAAATAAATTATTCATGCTCAGGTATTCTATTACAGCAGCACAAAACAGATTAAGACAGCTAGCTGCATGCTACGTACTTAGAGACAAAGTAGAAGGTAGTGCCAAAGAGAATTTATTGGATCTCAGAGAAGCTGTACTTGGTCAGTTTTGTCACTGGTTTTAAATTTTCTGCATACAGTGTACCCATTACTGCCTGAAGTGGAGTAGACTGTTCCCACTGTTCTAACCTTAGTAAACCTGGAAGGACACACAAGTTTGGGAGTGTAGTTTTAGATAAGTACCTGATCTTGGGAAGCACTCAATGTCTACTGAGTCTGAGATGCCTAGGAGACATCTGGCAGTGGACTAAAGCCTACAAAGTGCCTAGATAACCAATGTCAAAAAGAGAGCTAGAGGGGGACCAGGGATTTAGCTCAGTGGTGCTGCTGCTTGCCTCACAAGTACAAGGTCCTGAGTTCGATTTTCGGTACAAAAACAAAACAACAACAAAAAAAAAGAGAGGGAGAGAGAGAGAGAGAGAGAGAGAGAGCTACACCAGGGATATAGATTGCTGAACCACGAATGAAATTTAAGTAAATTTGATGTAATTTAAGTAAATGAGAGATGAGGTGGGCAGAGGGGCCATGCCAATGTCTTGTATGTTTTACTGTGCTAAAGTGAAACCATCAAGACACATAAGCAGCAGCCCATTCTAATTTTCTACTCAGTTTTAGAACATCCTTCTTTAAACACTAAACTAAAACCTGTCTCCCCATAACTCTATGAGTCTGAAGTATATGTCTTTAGAAATTACAAAGAATAAGACTTTTATCTCTTCCTTGGGGAACTCTTCCAAGATCGGTGAACCTAGAAAGCTTCCCACTGTGTCCCCTTCCCCACACCATATACCCTCATCTCCTTCTTGAGTTCCTCAAGAGACAATATACATCAGGGCTCACCCAACTCACCCCAATTTCTGGAAAGCAGGCCCTGGACATTTAAAGGGTATCAGACAGTCAAGGTCACACATGCTCTTTTGATCCCACTTCATACCACCTAAACAGTGGAGGCATGCTTCCCTTTTCTGTAATATATAGAACAAAATTTTAAGCTTAAAAATAGGTCATTAGTATCAAATGTCATAGAGTGGTCACACAAGATGAAAGCTGAGAAAACTCCAATGGACTTGGTAATGAGAAGGTCACAAGAGATCTAGATGAGAAGAGTGTCAGTAGGCAGGATAGGGGAGAGCAGAGGCAGCCTACAAAGTACTGAAGAATGAGGGAGAGATAAGAAAGAACAGACCACAAGTGCAAACTTCTTTTTTTTAGGAAGCTTGACTATTAGAATACAAGTGAAATGACTAGTGAACTAGTCTCAACTGCCCAGAAAGTTGAAGGGCAGTCCATCGGGTGGCTTGTGTATACACATCCACCTGATGGGACTCTCTCATGCCACCCAATGGGACAGTCATGCATGTAGCAGTAGTGGCTCAGAGCCACCCAGCATCAAGACATGAATTAAGGCCCCACTTTGAACATACATTAAATACCTAATAGGAAGCCAACCTCCAGGTTTCAGGATGTACTTGTGTGCATGTGTGTGAGTGTGTTTTTTGAGACAGGGTCTTGTTATACAGTCCAGGCTGGCCTTGAACTCGAAGTGACCCTCCTGCTTCAGCCCCCAAGTGCTGGGATTAGAGGTGTACTCCACCACACTCAGCTCCAGAATTTACTTCTTTGTTTGTTTGTTTGTTTGTTGTTTTATACAGGGATCAAATTGAAGACCTTGTGCTTGCGAGCAGGCGCAGTGACAATGAGCCAAATCCCAGCCCCAGGATTTACTTTTATAAGATCTAAGACATCTTACTTTTGGGACAGCTTCCTTTCAAACATCTAAGTGGCACAGTGACATTAACTATAACCAGTCAGTTTTCTGGAAGAGTAATTTTGAAAAAGGTCAAGAAGATGAAGGTGTATCCAGAGAAGATGTGCCTTTGTGGGACAAAGGACCAAGAATGTGAGAAAACTGGGCAAGATTTTTAAGGATGACAGGTGGCCTTAGGGGCTACAATGTGGCTGCCTGAGAAGCAAAACTTATGTGTGTGAATAATTTTATTCCCTTTTATCTTTCATGTTCCTTATCCGTGAAGTGTATGCAAATACATGCCAAATTCAGTTATTTTAGAAAGATCACATTAAGGTCTAAGAGTGAAGGGGTCCACCAGAGGCAGGAACAGTACAGGGGGACTGGCCAGCAAAAGGTAGGAAGCACCTATTTTCCCCTAGCCAACCCCAGAACCTCTCAATTCTTTTCGTTAACATAGGCCAAAAATCCTACTGGCTCTGGCTAGTCCTGGGGGTAACAGGTTCCCTCATCAGCAGGATTTCAAGGGTAGGTAACATCTGTTGACATTTCCAACTAGTTAGGAAGGGTTTGGCTCAGTAGGATTGACGGAGAACCTACACCAGAGGGGCTACACTGAGGACAAACCAGATTGCCAAGCTAGAAAGACATCCACATCTAAATAAAGCTCAGCAGCAGTCCTAAGAGCCATTCTTTACCCCATGTCTGACTGGAGCACAAAAGGGTTGAAGATTACCAACCTCACCCAGGTACACATGCAGCGTGCAGATTCACCAACAGGCATTCAGGTTGTTGAGTGGTCCACTAAATAGCCCCAGCTCTGTGACTCCATGGCGCAAGCAGTATAAATGTGGGAGATCCCAGGCCCATCTTCATGAGAGACAGAGCCAAATGCCAGAACCTGAACTCATGAGAAGATAGCTACACATCTCTACCATACAACCCCACCCCTACTTAGACAGCATGAAGAAATCAACACTGTGAGCAAGGTGAGTTACAGTGGTCATCAGTTCCTATACAAAAGAGGAAACTGAGGCTCCAAGAAAAAAAGATTTGTTCAATCATACTACAACCAAGAATAAAAGTAGAAGTGGAATTTAAGATTTCTGACTGTACAGGCACCACTTGTATAGGTTCCTTCAGGGCTCCTGATAGTCCTTGGAAAGG